TATTCTAATTGAGCTATTGAAGAATGTATAGATTAAATACCTATATACTTGAGTTTGAGTTCATTAAACTTATTAAGATCAAAATTAAACTTAATCGAACTCATACAACTCATGAGTAGTTCATGAATTATTTGGTAGTTTTAGCTATCAACTCCCATAAAAAGTAGCATTGATCTTGTGCATTCCCTAACAAAAGGATAAAAGATTTGTGTAGCATTCGCTGATATTAATTGGTGCTCCCTTGTAAGCAAGACAAGTACTTCAAGTGGAATCAACGCCAATGAGGGAAAAGGAACTAACTACTAGGGGGCTTAATTAAACAACAAAACTACACAAGGGACAAATTATTTATTTCATAAAAGTTCAAGGGCTTAAATTAAGATTTCTTTCTCCCATAGTTTTCAACTTCTTTTACAAACCATTTAATCCAAAAATTAAAGGGCCTTTTGCTTTTATCAAAAACAAAATTAATTAAATGTTTCATAAAAAAAATTACAGGATTAAACTAAGCCCCCTATTCGAGACCAAAAGAGCAAAACCAAACCGCTCCTCCATTAGTTTAAAATACAAAAGTTAGCAAAAACGTTGCAATCCCCCCCTTTCCCCGGTCAACTTTCTCTTCCTTATAATCAATCTAAAAAGATCACATCTTTTTTCATAGAGTTTTTCTAATTTGTAATCAAAGTGTATAAATTAAATATGCATTAATTATATTTTTTTATTAATTTATATAAAAATATGTTAAAAAAAAACTAATTTTGTGTCAACACTAATAACACATAATTTTTATTGACTAATTAATGAAATTTAAATTAATTTCTTAATATTAATTAATAAAAAAAATTAATGCAGGACAGAGGTTAAAAAACCCTTCTTTGTATTCAAAAGGAAAAAACAAAACGAAAGGGGAATTACTTTCTGTGTCTTTCTCAAACAATATATAAGGAATTAGAGAAGCTTGAGTCCACGGAAAATAGAGAACCTTCTCTCTTTCTTTCTTGCCCAACCCTTCTTCAAAGGCATTGAAACTAATTACCACCATGCATAGTGGGAATCATTGGGGCGGTTCTTTTGAGATGGCTGGAAGGGAGGCACCCGTGGTGGCGGAGGATGAGTGGGACAAGGCGGCACTTCAGCCGCATGAGCAGCATCACTACCTTGATGAGACCCAGCAGAGCTGGCTGCTCGGACCACCGGAGACGAAGAAGAAGAAGTACGTGGACTTGGGTTGCATAGTTTGCAGCCAGAAGGCCTTCAAGTGGACACTGTGGTCCATCGCCATTGCTTTTGTTGTAATTGCTCTCCCCACCATCATCGCCAAGACTCTGCCTAAGCACAAGTCTAAGCCTCCTTCTCCTGACAACTATACCCTCGCCCTTCACAAGGCCCTCCTCTTCTTCAATGCTCAAAAATGTAAGTTTTTCTTTTCCAAACCATTAATATTTTGAGGGAAAAATTTTGCAGCCACAACTAGATCAAATTATAGAGGAAGGGCTTTTCTAAAATGTAATCAATGCGTTTTGTTTCATAAATTTGTGTTACAAAAACAAAAATTGATATTAATCTGTTTAATAAAACATATGTGACATTAAAATTAATATTAATTTTTACATTTTTTTAATTATTGCCAGCTAACTTATATTGGGAATGCTGGAATAAATTAGTTGCTTATTTCAAAGTAAAATGCATTGATTGAGTTCAGTCATTAGAACTTAAAAGGTAAATTAAACCTTGTATCATTAAAATTTAAAAATAATGATTTCATTAAAAATGTTTTTCTTAATAAAATCTTATATATAATGCCTAATTTTTATTATTTTTTAATTCATGAATTAGTATTCATCTACAATAAATTTTGATGTCGAATGTACATTATAAAATTTACTGTAAAACTTTTATTTGTAAAGTAATGTAAAATTCAAGATGTGCACATTACACGTCTTATTACAATTGATGAAGGGTAGAAACGTTTTTATTAATAATTATAAAATATATATTTTGCATAAAATAAACCATATATATCTTAACTCAAATTTTGTTGATCAAAAAATCAGAATGGTAGTTTTCTCCTCTAGTCCATTAATTAACCTTGCAGCAGTAAAATTAGACTTAGTAGTGCATACATTTTTAATCTTTAATTAATTTTATAATTATTGCACTCAACAGTCAATGCGCACCAAAATCATTCATTTTTTCTTTAGGAACATCAAAATCATTCAGTAACATCTCTATTCCATCCAATGTTTTTGGACCCGGCCCGGTGGCTGGCCCGTTTTGACCACCGGGTCCGAGTCAACAGGTTGAACCGGTTCACCCGACCGGTTCAACCGGTCAACAAAAGTCAACTAAAAAACTTTTTTTCTAGGCATTTTTAATTTTTTATTGAATTTTGCTTTTATACCTTACCTTCACGGTTTCACCCGAAAACGATACAGATCGTTTTGAGTAGAACAGACGAGGGAGATGAAGATGATCGGCGAAAGAGAAGAAGTGCAGCGACGGAGGAGAGGATCGGCGGACGCTTGGCGGAAAAGATGATCGG